TAGCCGGGCACAAGCTCGATTGCGTGATCATAAGGCTTCCTTTCGGGTAGCCATTCTGATGCTTCTTTGGAGAAGACCTTCAGAAACTCGTGGTACTGTTTGGGCACCGACTCCTCAGTGGTCTTGACGACCTTCTTTTTGATCTCCTCCTCGGCGAATAGCTGGGAGTACGTATGTCCAGCCGCGATGAATAGCTGAGGAGTGCCAGGAAGCGTAATACCTTGCTCCCAGGCTTCGATCAAGTCAGCTTCATCCCGCTCGACTTCTACCGGATCCTCTTTGGGTTCGAAGTCCGGAAGCACCTTGCTCCAGCAGGCACCTATGACCAACCGTTTGGACTTCAGCGAACACCTGCGCGCCGTGGGCCTGACCCCCGTATCACGCGCAGTCGCTGCTTGCTCCATCCAGCCAGTCCTCCTGGCACTACATGTTTCAGGGCATTGTGACAATTTGACGGAGCCTTTCTCCCAATCAATTTCAGGGTTGTGCTTGCGTAGCCAATCCAACCCAACGATCACATCTTCGGGACCGATGTCCGTGACCATAAACACTGTCTTCTCGATGTGTTCTCCTATCTGCATCTGTAGCACCACTACTTCTGAGATGCTTCCGTCTTTATTTAGGGTGCCGTCGATATTGTAGAGCGGAATGGGCTCCTTCAGCTTCCGCGTTTGCACCTTATTTTCTACAATGAATCGCTTGTTGATAAACTTCGTGGTGGCTCTGCTGTCCACCATAGCGATTATGTCCTTGTGCCGTCTTTTCCCCTGGAGTCGAACTAGAATGTGGAAATGTTGGGACCCATGGTCCAACTCGTACACCATTGCAGAAGACAATACGTTATACTGGTTACATGATATACCCGGCCCGACGCGTGCGGCATGAAGCGCGGACCGGATCAAAAACCCTCCTCCTTCATTGTCCGATAGTGTTCGAGCTCTCCGCGCATCGACTTCACCTGTGCCATTAAGTCCGCCAGCTCCGATTGCTCGGATTTCGCTGAAGCGGCACTTATACTTGCCGAGGGTGTTGTCGTGACGGGGGCGCTTGTCGCGGCCTGGGTGGAGCCCGAGGCAACTGTAGCCCATGCGTCGGCACGTTTTGTGTAAGGTTTGTCCTTACAATTGGGGCACTCGAAGCGTCGGTACCCTTGCTTCCCACAGCCGTAACAACTGCCGGGGAAGTTTCCTTTTCCGACGGCCGCACTGATGGTGGCCGAAGCTGCGTGTGACTGGGGTGCACCACCATGCGCCCCTCCGCGCCCTCGACCTCGGGCCGAGAAGAAGTTATTCAACTCGGGCCAATGGGCCCGGCTGATGTCGAGGATCTGCTTGACCTCGGTGGCGCGCTTCTCAGCGTCCTTCCACGTGGTGAAGGTCTCAAGCTTGATCTTTTGGTAGATGCGGGAGGGGATGCTGCTCAGGTACTTGTCGCATAGCTCAAGGTCCCCATACCCAGAACAGTCTGCCGGACCCTTGAACAGCGCGGAGAATTCCGTAGCAGTGCGTTTTTCACAGACCAACTTGTCTGTGCAGAGCTTCGCCAGCTCTACTTGTGCTGCCGCCGCATTGTCGAGGTTACCGAAGCGGGCCTTGAAGGTGGCGGCAAAGGCCGCTTTGTTTCTAAATGGGGTTGTGGCCCCCTGCGCGCCTATCTGCACTGACATGAGCTGGGCAAAGTAGGGAGTGGCCCAGGCGCGGGCATCTCTGTCAAGCAGGCTTAGTGCAACCTGCACCTTGAGCTCGATGGTGGTCAACGACGTGTTGACCAGCCAATAGATGCACAGCTGCGACAGGAACCTGTTGCACTTGATGATGGTTTTGCCGTCATAATGGAGGGGGAGAAGGAGCTTCAGGGTCTCCTTGTCGGGGGCGGTAGTGGGAGAAGACATTAACGACAGCAGGGGGGATGGAGGACGGCGCGGGGGCAAAGGTGGCTGTGGTGGCCCTTTGCTGGTCGGACTTCTAGGGGAACGAGTGCACAAGCGGCCTCGTGGCGGTGACGGTGGTGAAGGTGCTGGAGGAAGCCCGGAGGAGGGGTTACGTATGTCAGGGACTGCTAATGTGGGGGCGAGCGCTGTCAGCGAGGCAGACCGAGCAGGATCCGCGGACTCAGACTCCGAGACTCCTTCTTCACTCGCACTCTCCTCAGGCTCAGCCTCTGGCGCAGGGTCTGGAGGGAGATATCCTCGCGCTTGACTTGCACCGGTGATGACAGTTTGAGGAAGTCGGGAGCTAGGGGAGACAGGGCGAGAATGCCACGAGGCGGATCGGGATGCGAGGGTGCTTCGAGGACCGAGCAGATGTTGTGCTTGTTGAATCGCTTTGTAGCGAGGGTCATCCTCCTCGATCAATCGGGGTGTCCGATTTGGGCTGCTCGCAATGGTAGAGGACAGTCTCAGGGCTGTCTGGGATGTAGACATCGATGAGATCCTGGGAGTTGAATGCGTGGATCTGGCCTTGACAGGCAGCCACAATGGATGGGGAGAGGATGGGGAGGTGCGCGTACTACAATGGCCGTGCTATACTAGCTTACGCTACGGCGCCTGAAAAGACACTAGGGTTTGCAGTTCACGTGGGGCCCAGTACTGCTTTTGACTATTATGCAGCAGGAACCTAAGCCACGCGTCCGTGAGGACAAGTACCACCCACTGAAGTGCAGGTACTGAAGAGTTCGTCTCTCAAGTGTTGGCAATGTATTGTAGGCTATCTACGTATTGTAGGTTACAGTAAGGGTGCGCACCACCCGACCTATGGGAGAGGAAAAGTGAGTGTGTTTTTGGAACACCGGCAGCTATGGGGAGTTTCGACCTAATGTCGCGACTTGGGGTCAAGCGACTGGGGAAACCTAAAAGCTGGGGGCGTCTGACTGATTCTCACCGAAGGGATGGTGAGCTCACGCTCAAACCTAAGGCTAGGGACAAGAAATGTATTAATTAGTGTAAGGTAAGTAAAAGAATACAGGAGCTTACTGACCTAGGGACAAGAGGTCGAAACTGAGGTCCCTAGGGCAGCAGAGGCCGGCTTATATACAGGGGAAGATGAGGGCAGGCTGTGCACACTGGTCCGTGCGCAGCTGGTCTGTGCGCAGCATGCTGACGCGGCCCCGGGGGCCGGTGAGTCAGAGAGGCTGTGTCAGCGGGGCCCGAGCTGTGCCATGCACTGCCGCCCATCTAATCTAATCGTACAGTAGATAGCAATGTGTCCATATCAGGTATGTAGTACAGAGGTCGCGGGTTCGAGCCCGCAAAAAGGAAAAAATTAAAAAATGGCTAGACACCGTACCAAGTCGTGACACCCAGGAGCAGGTCGACGTCTCTCGCGACGACCCAGAAAGCAACAGAAACCTAGCCCCTTTCTTCATCTGTGATCAGCAACCGTGCCCTAATCGCACTCCACGGTCCATCACTGCCGACGAAGGGCGCTACATGCCAATCTGACGAGTCCAACACCCCAGCGGTCCTGCACTCCGGTACTCTGGCACCTCGAGATCCACATCTCGCCACGTCACTCCTGCCCCATCTTGACCCACCTCCCCAGGCACCCGCATCCCCCAACCTGTTGCCAGTACAGGTCAAGCGCAAGGAGATCCCCATCTCCCTCGAGGAACTGAGGCAGTCGCACAGCCTATAGCAACCCCTCAAGTGATCCCCCAGCCCTCCTTGGGGCCGCGGTTGAAAAGACCTCCCAAGACTGAGCCCCACAACACTCCGCCGCATTCTTGGCCCGGCTCGTCGTCAGCGGTCACTGCCTCAACTTCAGTCTCTGTCCTACGTCACCCCGCCTCCAGGCTTCCTCAATCGTCTTCACCGCCGTCACCGCTGCAAGGCCGCTTGAGCACTCATTCCTCACAAAGTTCGCCCAGCAGACAGTCACAACAGTCGCCTCCGTCTGCGGGCAGTCCTCCGTCCCCCTCGTTGCCGATAATGTCCTCTCCCGCTACCGTCCCTGATAAGGAGACGTTGAAGCTCCTCCTCCCGCTCCAATATGATGGGAAGTTGGTGGTCAAATGCAACCGCTTCATCTCGCAGTTGCTTATCTACTGGACAATCAATATGGCCCTCTCTTCCCTCAAGCTGAAAATCCAGGTTGCCCTCAGTCTCCTTGATGGAGATGTGCGAGCTTAGGCCACCCCCATTTTCTCCCAGCTTGCCTCCGTCCAAATTGGGATCCAGGGAGCAACGACCCCCTTCGCCGACAAAGCAGCCTTCCTTCAAGCATTCAAGGCCCGCTTCGGCAATCTTGATGACGCTGCCGCCGCACAAGTAGAGCTCACCAAGCTCTGTGCTGACAAAACCATGCGTGAGAAACGCACTGCCGCCGAATTCTCTGCATTATTCAAGGGTCCAGCAGACCGCTCTGGGTATGGTAACCTGGAGCTCCGCGACAAGTACCTAAGTGGCATCCCCTCCCGGGTCTACCAAAAGATCAAGCTCAGGACATTCACCACGTGGCGAGAAGCTGACACACGTGCCACTGCAGTCGAACAGATCCTCGATGTCAGCCAGGCCCGTCGGCCTGAGCTGAACAACTTTTTCTCAGCCCAGGGTCGAGGACACGGTGGGGCACGTGGTGGTGCACCCTCATCACATGGAGCTTCGGCCAGCCTCAACGCAGCCATCGGAAAAGGTGTCACGAGTTGGTACGGCGTCTAGCCGTTTTTTAATTTTTTTCTTTTTGCGGGCTCGAACCCGCGACCTCTGTACTACTTGCCTGATACGGACCACATCATTATCTACTGTACGATTAGATTAGATGGGGCGGCAGTGCACGGCACAGCTCGGGCTCCGCTGACATAGCCTCTCTGACTCACCGGCCCCCGGGGCCGCGTCAGCATGCTACGCACGGACCAGCTGCACACGGACCAACACGCACAGCCTGCCCTAATCCCCTCATGTATATAAGCCGGCCTCTGCTGCCCTAGGGACCTCAGTTTCGACCTCTTGTCCCTAGGTCAGTAAGCATCCCTTGTATTCCTTTTCTTACCTAACTAATATATCATCTTGTTCCTAGCCTTAGGTTTGAGCCTAGCTCACCATCGCTTCGGTGAGATAAGTCAAACGCCCCCAGCATTTGGTTTTCCCCTGTCGCTCGACCCTAAGTCGCGACAGGAACGGCTACCAGAATCGCTCATTGACAAAGGCTCGGGTTGCATAGATTCCTTGATGCGCGGTGCGGTCGTGGCATTCTCAAAGTATCCGAAGGCGATCGCCGGGCTTGACGACTAGCTTGTGTGCTCCGTGACTGTCCTTGCGCCAGAGGGTGTCGTTGTCGAGGAAGAATTGCATGCAGTATTTGATGAACCCTTCGTAAACACTTTTGGAGATGTCCTTGGGCTTTGCTAACGTTCGATGAAATTCGAGCATGTCGTCGAGCTTCGCATCAGCGAGTTGCGCTTGCTCCGATCAAGGCACTAGCTTGTAGCTATCCTCCTCCCTATTGAAATCTGAGCCATCCTCGGCTCTGTCATTGGTGAAGATGGCCAGCAACTGGACGGATGGGAGGGGCTGAATCTGGTGAACGAAAGAATGCATCTGGTCGATCCAATTGTCGAACTCTTCGTCGACCTTGTCTTTGATGGCATCACCAGGCTGAGCTGTGCGTCGAGAGAGGCCGTCGGGGCCGTGCATTGTACCGGGGACGTGGACTAGCGTGAAATGGAATGTGAGAATCGAG